ACTCCAAAATATAATGGTTCAAAAAGTATTTTCGGAAAACTTTTCGTGATTTTGTATTGCTGACAACTTCTTTTAACCAAGAAAAAGTAAAAGTTCTCTAAGTTATGATGCGTGACATTTCTTCGCCAAGAGTAGTTACATTTTAAATTATAGACCGTACTGCGATAAACGCTCTCTCGGGAAGCATGTCTGCAAGATGGCAAATACCATACCAACCAGAGTGAACAATAGGCCTACTATACTGGGTTTGATTTTTGTGGCAACTAGTAATCATCAGTACGGGGACATTTTTCACTCAAAAAGCTTGCAGAAGTGAGAAACCAAATTGAGCGAGGTGAATTTCCACGACTAATCGGGTTCATTTAAGGGCTGTTAATTTATTTACACACAGTTAATCGACGCATTCATGCTAATTTGGCCGTTTCCATAATCATTAAAATATGTACACACACTTTTAGCATCCAAGTCAACAACGTCAGGTCCAGCTGGACCAAGGCTGACCATTGATGATTAATGGCTTATTCACATTGAAAGGTTGAAAAATGCGACGCCCGTTGAAAAATGTGATGCCAGTTGAAAAAAGCGATGCCGATTGAAAAATGCGACGCCCATCAAAAAATGCGACGCCCGTCAAAAAATGCGACGCCGGTTGAAAAATGCGACGCCCATCAAAAAATGCGACGCCGGTTGAAAAATGCAACGCCCGTCAAAAAATGCGACGCCGGTTGAAAAATGTGACGCCCGTCAAAAAATGCGACGCCGGATGGCACATATGGAACACCATAGTACATGTATTGTGAAATGTATACCCCCCTCGTCTATATACATACACAATGAATCACATGACGAATGCTTTCATAAAACTTGTGTGATGGTTTAACCATTGAACATCCTTACTGATCCAAATACTGTCTGGAAATAAATGGATTGGAAAAAGAAACATTTTCTTCAGTGTGGAATTAATAGCGAGTAACAAGCATATGTTTTAAGGCACATGTACACATGTGCGTACATGGACACTGTTTCAACTAATAAGCCTTTTGCAAATTAAGTTGAATAAAATCGGGTACACTGAGTTCGATTCATGTGAACCCAGCAATTGGAATTATCCACGAGTAAAACACTTGCTATACCTCCTGAATTAGGACAAGCTTTTCCTCAGTTACGAAGGAGATGCCAATACACTATTTAGTGGATAAGAACGGAACCAGAGTATCCCTGAGACGGTACCTGTGGTCGGTTTGCAAAACTTTGCCCCGATTCACGAGGCACACTTTAAAAATGATGATGGTCTGCCCATACTCGATTGCGTGAAGGAAACAATCCCTAACCTCTCCTAAACTGTACGTAGTACCAACTGCTTTTACGTCTGTCAGCTTGTATTGTACTTTTTAATTATAAGTAGGGGAGATGGCTGCCGGTGACAGCAGATGCGTAAAGAACTGTTCTTGTACAGGATAGATGCGTGTAGACTTTTCTTGTACAGGGTT